CATAAAAAAGCACCCAACTAAAGGGATGAGCCAGTGTTGTGTTTACACAAAAAGACAACTTGATCTATTACAAAAACACAAAATTTGTTCCCATTTTATTAGTTGAATTGATGAACGATAGTTGAACGATAACACAGTTTGAGAGGTATAAAAAAAAAAGAGCTGTTAGCCGGAAACTTTGCATATATCGGCATGGTGTGCAGTGTGACAGTTTTTTAAGAAAGCAAGCAAAGAACCTCAGAGATCCATGAGACCCTTGAGTTGAAGCCTCATGAGAAATGGTGTCAGTGGAAGGATGGCTGTAAAGATTCTTAAGGGAAACAGAGATAAGGGTGAGGTACGCCAAATTACTCAGAAAACTGACTGAAAATCTGTGACAACAGGTCTGATGGAGCGATGAATCCAAATGTGAATTGCTGTTGATTTTTTTTTCTAGATAGTGTAGTAGTGAAGAGTAGACAGGAAAGCAGACAGAAGACGAGGAAGAATCCTGTATTCAGCCTTGCAGAATATATGGTCATCCTGAACTACATTAGCACCCAGTATTGCTAGATTCTTTTTCACCATGCAGCACCATCTGAAAACTTGTATTTCCATGTATGCATGTTTCAATAAATCACTGCTCCCATTTTCCAGTTTCAAATCACAGTATATACAAATGAAGGGGTGGCTCAAGACTTTTGCACAGTACCGTATACCAAGACAAATTAAGTAAAATACAAAGATTTTCACAAGTGAACGTGTGTTACAGTAAAGAGGTTCCTGACTCTAATCTCATCCAAAATTAACTCCAAAATTCATCTAAAATGCCACCACACTCAGACAACATGCCTGTTCATGGCTTTTAATCTTCATCTATAATCAAATCAACAAAAAGAAACGGTGAAGTAGACAGAGTGTAAACAAAGTCCCTCTATAAAATGCCTCTGATATAAGTCTGACACGGTCCACTGATAGCGCAGACACAAACAGCTATCACTGCCTCGCCACTTGTCACTTTAGCTGCCCACAACATTTATGGGTATGTGTATCAGCGTATGTGTACTTACTCGAAGGCATGGTGTAGGTGTCCTCCTCGTCTATGATCTCAGCATAGTCGTCTGTTTCTGCAGAGCAAAGAAAAATCAGGATGAGAAAAAGAGCCGAGAACAAATCAACAAGTTCTGAGCTGATGACAAGCTTGCATCTAAAAATCACTACAAGCTTCTCGGTATCAATGATTTAACTGTATAACATGCCACCATGTCTAAGACCTTCCAACATCACTAAATAACTGAGTCCAGTGAGCACACCTTCACCGAGACTGCAATTTGCAACATTAAGAGAAACAC